TTATTCTCATTAAAAACCAAAATTGGATCTGGTAATCTGGACATGTCCATACTACTGTCACTATTTGATAAACTTATCAGATCAGTTATTGTGTATGGGGCGACATTTGGGGAGAAGAAAGTTCTACAAAATCAATTGTAGAGGATGTTCAGCTTACATACTATCGGTACATTCTCGGTATCTCAAAAAATACACCAATCATGGCAATATATTGTGAATTGAGAAAATTACCTCTTGACTCTTTTATTAAGAAACAAATGATAAAATATGCCAATCGTACTGCAAATTCCACAAATACTCTACTTCGAGAAGCATACTATGTCAATAAAATTATTAAAAGTAAATGGTTTAAAAAACTTGATTTGATATTAAAAATATAAAACATTCTTATCTTTTAAATGAAACAAATATTATCTCATTATAAAAATTAAAAACAATTAATGAGAAATTAAAAGAAGAGTTTACATCTGAGTGGGAAAATTCAATAGGTAATGACAATAGGAAAATAAACTAAGAACCTACAAACTTTTTAAAACCAAAATAGAACAAGAAAACTACTTAACAATTATGAAAAACAGTGCATTTCGCAAATCATTATCAAAATTTAGACTTGGCAACCACTGTCTGAAAATTGAAACAGACCGGCATACATGATTGGATTATAAAGACAGAGTCTGCAATATGTGCGACAATGACCATGTTGAAGATGAACATTTTATCATAAATTGACCTCATTACAATGAAATAATATTAAAGTAGCGAGAAGGGAAATTTTCACTTTTTTCTTGATTTTTTAAAAATTGATAAAACGGTTACTTTAGACCTTGATACATCATCCCAGGTTTCAAAAGATCGAAATTGCGAAATAACGTTGCTCAAATTAGTGTTTTAAAACGCTATCAGAAAAGACTACAACTGCCCTTTCGTGGATATTTGCATGATGTTTATCTTTGGAACGGTTTAAATGATATCAACTTGTCTGTATCAGATGCAGCCAACAAGCAATAAATTGAACTAGTCAATTCTCTTGGACAACATTTTTATGGGTCTTTTGAAGTATGCCAATTAATATAAAGGAAAGAGGGGTAATTAAAAGCTGTTCTTAAGCTACCCTCCACTTGTTTTCCCCCTCCTGCTGACCAAATTCATCCTTCCCCTGCCCTCATTAAAAAACACTGCCCACATTTAGCAGATGTTATTTCCTCCGCGTTTTTTATTATACCTTGCATTTTTTAAGAAATCTGCCCTGCCCACTAGGGGGTACTGATATTTCCCGCCCCCTACAAAAAATAGAAAAAATCCCCTGCCCTCAACAAAAATTCCTTGGAACAGCTTTTCCGATGAACAGCTCCATTGGATGCATCTGCTGTATACTCTGTTGTTGAAGATTCAGATATAACGGGTGATAAGCTTCCTGTCGCAAACAATGCGTGTTTATCTAACGTCCATTGTCAGCATTATTGTCAGTCGAGACTTCGTCTGAGAAACATGGTCATACAGTACTCATTTCGCCCAACCTTCCGCTTTTACATCGACCGCTTATCGCTTAATTTCGGACCACGCGGTCTTTTCCGACCGGAAAATTTGACATTCAATTTTTAAAATTAAGTCACGATCAGTGAATGACTTCGGTCTATACGTCCGTAAAAGTGTTCTCACAAAAAATATTTTCGACTAAAAACGGCCACATGCCCTGAAAAAATCCAACAGAGCTTGACATGCATGAATAATTTATTGGGCTTCAAAAAAACTTGTCAGTCGATGAACAATTCGAAACTCAGGATTCACACGGAAGTCCTTCAGGGCTGAAAATCATCGACCCTACTCTGGTTTACTTTATTTCACAACTTGCAAAGAAAAATGATTCGCCGTGGACTCTAATGTATCTCAGCCTAGTATTTTTAGCGCGGAAGTTGTCAACAAATGTCGAAAAGTGAGTTTCATGGATTCGAATAAAATAAAGCTAGCTATTGCTAAGAATGGTAATTGATATTTTTTCCGATGCTTTTCGAATTTTTTTGATTTCAAGGTAAGAAATGATTAGTTGAAGTTGCATCGACTTTAATGCGGCTGTTTCACCGCGAACAACTCTAGCTCTGTTGTAGTTTTGCGATGTAAAATAAAATATATATTATAATAATAATAATACTTGTTTATTTATTTGGGGTTTCAGCCCACAATCCTCATGAATTACTGTCAATGTTTGTCCTGTCTCGGCTGATTGTGTTGATCGACGCAATATGGAAAAACCAACGGGAATCGATATTCCACGGTTTTTTTAGTAACCGTGGATATTCCAAACAAATTATTGGGACACGGTAGAAATACATTTCAAACAATTATCAACGAAAGACGATATTTTTCTAGATATTTACAGACATACTGCCATGACAAACATATGTAAAATTAACAAATGCACAAAGAGGTGTAATATTAGGTTTTATTTTAAGCTTAGTAGAAATATTTTCTTTCACTCAGTCCATGCATGGAACTACCATTTAGTTTCATGGTCATTCAGCTTGTCTTCGCTCGGGGGAAAACAATAAGTATATATTTTTCTGTTAGTCCGAATTGTAAATGCGAGCGAGTGGACGGTGATATTTCGGGGTTTGCGCGGTCAAAAAAAAAGCGGAATTTGTCTGGTCGAATCCAACAAGCGGTCGAAAAAGCGAGAGAAAAGGTGATTGGAAAGCGGAAGCGAGAGGGAGGTTGTGCGAAAGTACTGTAATTTTACTAATACCATTTTTTAAACGCAATGACGGGGAAAAGAAAGAAAACGTTGACAGACGAGGCAAAGAAAAATCTGCCACTCAGTGTCGCACTCTGACACAATTTTTTTTTTTCAAAATTCGTCCATTTTGTTCCATTATGGAAACCGTTTTATTAGATCTCTTATCAATGACACTAGCTGCGGTTCCGTAGCTCTTTGGTGCCACCTACAATCGAATTTCGACCCAACAATTTCATTTGGACGTCTTCTTATTAATTTTGTTGTTGTACGGGCCGGCTAGAGTCAGTCACGTTAATAATGCGGTCGGCAACATAAGGCTATGATTCCACAGCTACAATGACACTTGAAGGATTAGCTTGTTTGTAAACTGTCGGCGTGTACAGTGGGACGGTAATGTTTGTCACATGATTATCCCCTTTTTTAGATGGCTACCGTCTTGTAAACAGTGCGCATTTTATGCTCTCTAAAAAAAGCTGTAAAACAACTTTTCAAAACTGATTATATCCTGTGAAAACTCATCTTAATGAAGGTTTGCTGACATCCTTATGTGAACTTATTGTGCTGGATTTTCCTTCTGATGACAAGTTGGAAACACTAAACTAAACTGGTGTGTAGAGTCTTTGTTTCAATGTGTTAATGGTGGTCAAGGTCACAGAGGAAAAATATACTCACTTAAAAAACTAAAGGAAGACTGGACAACTAAGGAAAGACTGGACGACACAACTACAGACTATACTGATCAACTGATCCAACTGAACTGTAAGTGAAAGATAATAACTACTTTAGACAACAATTACCATATACAAGGTTCAGAAAATTGCATGGAGAGTTGTAATGTAAACAAAGACAAAGACAACAAAAGCAGCCATTGTCCACCATTACAGCCAAAGAGTGTGAACAAAGGAACCTTAAAACAAAAGGTTACAATTATGGCATCCAAAACCACAATAGCAAAATACACCAGTAGTAAGGATGCTAGTGATAAATCTCAGCAAAGTAATGAAGAGGAAGAAAAGTTAAGATCATTCTTGAACGAATTCAATATTAATGAAAATGACAACATTCATATCAAATTCAACAAATCCTCCATAAGCATACATTCAAGCAATGTTATGAAGGAAATGTGGCTACAGTGTCTGAAACTAGCATATCCAGAAG